TAACCCAAATGCTGACATCATTATTTCCATTACAACATAGCCCTAACTGCACTGGGATCCATGATGCAACCAGATGAGCACTTAAAGCCCGAAAAGAGAACATTTCTCCCCACGAGTTCCCATCACGTTTACTGCATAAACATTCCCCGTGTTAACACCATTCACTGTCAGAAGCAATGGGCATCAAGTTGGGATTTAAAAAGACAATAAAAGCTGAGCATTATTTCTTCTGGAGTGGATGTCGACTAGAAAGCACAGTATACCTTGAAGAAATTCTTCAGACTCACGCTTGGGCCAGGGGAGTGAATTCCAGCCGGAGAGCTGTGCATCTGACAGAGCAGTTACTGCCACTTGAAATATCCACATTCAAACTGGAATGCTTGGGTTTGATTCCGAGCCTGCTACCAACTCTGACTCCTGCTCTGGGAGGCAGCGAGTGATGGGTCAAGTACTTAGCTCCCCATGCCTCCATCAGAGAACCTGGAATGAGTTACTCACTGCTGGTCATTTGGGGAACAAGTCTGTGAAAAAGACTCTCTCAAGAATATAAATAAATGGAAATGAACAAACTGTGACAGGGGCCATTAGATGTGAAAATAACAGTGATGCAAGCTGAGATCTGGTAAGTTCCATAGGAAAAGCATGAACCATCACAAATCCAACAAGAATTCAAGTTCTGGTTGTAATTATGGTGGCTTGATGAAATAGGATATTTGAGTGGAAACTTGTTCAGAAAGTATTATGAGAGGGAAGATTTTATCAAAAATGGGAGCTGGGTTCAGAGAGTATGCACAGTGTGGCTGGAGCACAAATCCTACATAAGCAATCCCCCAGAGTGAAGCCTGGGAGGGGGCTGGGCAGAGGGGCCATGCTGAGCAGGGAATGGATGAGACCAACCGGCTGAAATGATCCGAGAGTCAGATTTAAGATGATTAACCTTAGCAGTAGTAGATAAAACAGATTAGGTTGGAGTGAGATTGGAAACCATTTAGGAGGCTGTTGAAATAGTCTAGGGCAGCAGTAATGAGAGTCTGAAATAAGAATAGATGCCAGGGAATAAAAAATGAAAACGGACTCAAGCAGTCTTCTAAAGGATGCCAAGTCACTTTCTTTCCAGAAGCAAGAGGTGATGTAGGCTGTTGTTTTGTGCACCACTGCTAAATCACATTTGCTGTTTTTGAAGAAAGATGACATGTCTATTACATCATAGAAGAATTAGCAGTGTTGCAATAGAACCGAACTCTTGTTCTAGGGTGCTTGCAAGTTCTCTGATGAATTCTTCCATGAATGCTGCTAATTTTCCTCCTATTTTTAAGCTAGAATTTTATTTGAAAAGATAGTAAAGTTCCCAATAAGTGTGGAGTGGGGCATGAAATAAAAACTCCCATGCTCCACAGGCAACCACACACTTTCTCAGATGCCGCCCAAATGCTCGATGAGTTAAAAATGCAAACATTATTCACTGTCCACTCATTCTATTTTTTGATTATTTTCTTCATAATCTTCCTTCACAGTGTCTTCCCTTCCATGGGGATTCTCAATCCATCCCATCGAGAGTTTGTTCTAGATAACCCTAGGTGGAGAGCAGTTGGTGGTGGTGTTGGGATGTGTTTGGGTGGTTGGGTGGTGACTGAGATTGGCAAATCCTGGATTTCTTATTGAATTTTTTCATACTGTGTAAAGTGGGTCTGAAAACATACCTTCTCTCCTTCCTTCTGCCACTTTCATTTTTCAGGGAGCATTTACTGGGTGCCAAATATGTGTCAGCTCTATGCTAGGCGGGGATCGGGAATGCAACTGTGGGCAGGACACTAGAAGGACTCCTGATGTATATGTCTGGTCCGTTGTCTCTGTACATAGCCAGAGCAATTAAATATTACCTTATAAACTTTGAAAATATGTCAGAAACTGTCAGCTACCCTGACCACAGGAATTGCCTGGCACTGTAGTGCTGCCACCTCAGGCCTGGGAGGCTCTGCTTCTCACGTTGGGTACAAGAACTGCCTGGATGTTTGGGTGACATTGAGGGATTGCTAATCAAGCCAGAGTCAGGTGAAGCAAGCAGAATGTAGTTATCTACTTGGAAGATGGCCGTGACAATAAGACAGAGACTCAATTCCTCAGGAAGAGCTCTGGAGCTGTAGACTAAAGAGCACAACGGCCATGAGTACGTTTCGGATTCAGGCAGAAAGACACCAAATGCCTGTTAAATTCCCACCAGTCTTACCTATTGACAGCCCTACTGAAAGGCTCGGAGCCCCAAGAGATTGGATATGAGCCACAAAAACATTTATTCAGGGAAAACGCATCTCTCTCATGTAGGCAGCAACATTTATATCACAGACATTCAGAAAAGCTCTATTAGCACTTCAGGCTGTAAGCGCTCTAGACCAGGGCTCAAAGTTGTGATACCAACTACATCAGGATCAACTTATTGCTGGAAGCTGAGTGCTGTTGAGGAAACAGTCTGCCCAATCCTGGATCTGGGAAGGCTTTTGGATCACAGAATCCTCCCGAGAATTCCGTGAGCAATCCAAGCCCCACTCCCACCCCCTCCTTCTATGTGTACCCTGAACACACATGTGAACACGTCACGAAGGAGCCATCACTTTCCTTGAATTCAGTCTATGGGCCTTCACACTCCAGGTGCACAAGTCATGTTTTTAAGCCTCCTCTGTCAGGAAAGGAAAGCAAAATGATCTCCTTAAACAGTTCAATTATTGAGGGATCATCCATCACCTCGTGGCTCTCTAGTTCGGTAATGGACTTGATGAATTACATACCTAGAGGTACTACTGCCAGCACAACTTTTAATATATGTCTATCTTTATCTCATTAAAAGAAAAACAGCTTCTACTTACTTTTGTTTTCTACTGAAAAAAAAAACCAGAAAATTACCAATATATCTATTTTGTTAATTAAGCTTTAAGTCTTTGATGTCTTTTCTCATGGATGAATTTCTTGAGGTAAGCTATCTAAAAATACTTCCTAAAGTACTTTGTACATTCTAAACACTCTAATATTATTGACATTATATGAGTTTTATTGTGAACAACTTAGAGTATCTAAATTAATAATGCATCTGGAATTTTTTTCATTATGTAATTTACTGATGAAAGAAATATGAACACTCCAGCTAATCTCAAACCCAAAGGATACTAAAATAATCTTCAATTAATTTTTGAATTTTTAATTAAATTAATTAAACAAACTAAATCACATAATATAAGAGTCTGACAAAATTTGTTGAGGAAATGAATAAATAGGTAAATGCAAACAAAACCTCATGAATCCCCAAATCATAGAACTATAATTTTTCTATTTGAAGTATAATTTTTATATTAACCTATAATGCATATAAGTATACAGTCTGATTTTTCAAAATACATATATAGCATGTGCTCATTAAGTCATAATTATCTTTTGTCCTTGGGACATTTAAAATAAATCAGGAAAAGGTATAAATAAATTTGAAGCTGTTTTTTTCAAAACCTTTAGTTTTTTGCATTGTTTTTAGGCAGAGAGAGACTGCTTTCATTGCTGGTTACTCCCTAGATGAGCATAACAGTTCAGACTGGGTCATGAGGCTGCAGACAGGTGCAGGAAACCCCAACTAGGGCCTCCACAAAAGGTGAGGACTCACCACTGTTCTCCCCTGGGATCAGCTTTAGTGGAAAGCAAGAGGCTGAAACTAGAATCAGGTGTTGAATCCAGGCTCTCCAATGTTGACATGGCCATCTTAAAAACTAGGCTAAAAGCTTGCTCCAAAGCTGTGGCTTTTCATTGCAGACTTAGGGAACTTCTCATGTTAGTTGTTTGCTATTTGTTTTTCTTTTTCAAAGTGTTTAGTTCTGGGCCCAGCGTAGTGGCCTAGTGGCTAAAGTCCTTGCCTCACATATGCTGGGATCCCACGTGGGTGTGGGCTTGTGTCCTGGCTGCTCCACTTTCCATCCAGCTCCCTGGGAAAGCAGTGGAGGACAGGACGAAGCCTTGGGATCCTGCACCTGCATGGGATACCAGGAAGAAGCTCCTAGCTCCTGGCTTCGGATGAACTCAGCTCCAGCCATTGCTGCCATTTGAGGAGTAAACCAACAGATAGAAGATCTTTCAGTCTCTCCTTCTCTGTTTAAATCTGACTTTGCAATCAATTAAATAAATCAGAAAAGAAGGAAGGGAGGGAGGGAGGAAGGGAGAGAGAGACGGAGAGAAAGAACAAAAGAAAGAAAGAAAGAAAGAGAAAGAAAGAAAAAGAAAGAAAGAGAAAGAAAGGTTGGATGGATGGATGAATCATTCTTTTAAAGAAAAGTGTTTAGTTCTTGGGGCCAGTGGCATGGCTTAAGAGGCTAATTAACAGTTGAACACCAATATCCAATGTAAGATGTGAGTGCTGGTTTGTGTCCCAACTGCCCCACTTCTCTTCCAGCTCCCTGTTACAGCCTGGGAAAATAGCAGAAGATGGCCTTAGGCCTTTGGACCCTGCACCCACATGGGAGACCAGGAAGAAGCTCCTGGATCCTGGCTTAAAATTGGATGGGCTGAGCTTTGGCCATTGCAGCCACTTGTGGAGGGAACCAGTGGATGGAAGATCTTTCTGTCTCTCCTTCTCTCTATAAATCTGACTTTCCAATGGGGAAAAAAAATCTTTAAAAAATTGTTTAGTTCTTATAGCAGGCACTCCTTTATCTTTTTTCTTTTCCTTATGACATCACAACAGCACATCTTGGCATACTCAACACATTTATTATGTATTCTCTAAGATGTAATGTCAGATTGAAGAGCTCAGTGGTGTAAAAAGTACTACTGAATATAATCTAATATCAAAAATAAGGAATGCATCAGGAAACATAAACCAAATGTTAGGACTCATTTATAATTTGGCTTATAGAAGTAAAATCCATTTTTGTTGATTTATGTAAAAATTAGTAAAAATCAGAACTTTGGAGTAAACAGGAAACTTAACATTATCATTTTAAGAAGAATTTATGTTTGGTGTTTCTTACCAGACAGAGATGTCAAATTTGCGTTTTTGATGAAAACTTCGTTTATCCCAAGAGCTTTCAAAATGTCCTTCATATCAACCCCTTGTTCCACTGTGAACCTAAGAGAAGAGATAGGAGGAAAGGTTTTATCTCCTGCATCCTGTTCCTGAGACAGCCACAAAATGTTAGATACTGGTTTTAGAGATAACAAAATGTGCTAGACCCGGCTTTTGATTTCAAGGAGTGTTTGGTTGTGATGTTAGAAATGTGAGACATTAGGCCTGCTCTAGTAGCCCAGTGGCTAAAGTCCTCAACCTGCACGTGCCAGGGTCCCAGTTTGTGTCCCAGCTGCTCCAGTTCCCTTCCACCTTCCTGCTGGTGGCCTGGGAAAGCAGTTAAGGATGGCCCAATGCCTTGGGACCCTGCACTCACATGGGAGACCCATAAGTTCCTGGCTCTTGGCTTTGGATGGGCTTAGCTCTGGCCATTGTGATCACTGCGCAGTGAACCAGCAGACAAAAGATCTTCCTCTCTGTCTGTCCTCATCTCTGTATATCTGACTTTCCAATAAAAAAAAAACAATACTTTTTTTTTTAAACTGAGACATCAGGAGCTGGTGTGGTAGCATACAGAGCACGCTAATCCTCCCCCTGTGGCACCAACATCTCATATGAGTGCTGTTTTGAGTCCCAGATGGGGTGCTTCTGATCTAGCTCCCCGCTGAGGGCGTGGGAAAGCAAGGGTGGGTGACCCAAGGCCGCCTGCTTCTGCTCCCATCATGGGAGAATCAGAAGAAGCCCCTGGCTCCCAGTTTCTGCTTATTATGCCCATTTTGGAAAAGAGCCCGCGGGTAAAAGATATCTCTCCCTCTGTTCGCTCTCTGTGAGTCTACGTTTCAAATAAAAAATAAATACTAAATTTCATGTAAAAAATATGAGACACCAAAGAAAATGACATAAAAGAAGGATTTAAATTTTCAAGCAGGAAAATACATGGTATATACACAAAGCCATAATACATAATAGAACAAATGATTTTTTATGTAAAACTCATTATATTAGTATGGTGTAAAGTTGTAAATGAGGAGCTTTCAAACCCTGTGCCCTAGTAAGTAACATGTTTGGTCTTCTCATCTGGCAATGACTAATCATACAGTTACCCAGTGTATTTCATAATACTGTTCACCCCCTCCTCTTCTATGGGCAAGGTTAACTATTAGCCAAGTTCTGTTTTACGATAATACATTCAGGGGTCAACTTTGGACAACCTGGAAAAAGAGAACACAAAATCTATTGCCTTAAAAATGATGATATATTAAAACTATGTCATCATGTAGTAACATCTTATAGCAATGTCAAGCCTCTTTTTATATCATCACAACAAAGCCACGAATCAATGAAAGTGTGCTAGACACTACACCTTATAAGCTGAGTGCTTTCACAATGATAGTGGATTATGTTAAGTGAAAGAGAAGCAAGTTTTCAGCCTTTTAGTCTTGATAGTCTTTATAACTTATGAATAAATATGCATGAGTTTCTTAAGAAGAAAACATTTTAAAATGTAGTAACAAGGAGCATTAACAAAATGCTGAGATAACAACTTTCGCAGACAGTCTCATTGATCCATCACACCAAAGAATCACATCACCTAGCTATTACTGAACATGGATCAACTGACCTGCATTATAACAAACGATATTTTTAAAAAGCAAAGATTAATTTAGACGGGTGAAAGCAATTAGATTGATCCAAATATTTCCCTTTTCCTAAGAGATATTTGCCTGACAAATGCAGAGTATAGATATAAAGTTTCAGGCTGTCGGTGTCCCTAGTAGGGAACTCTGTGTCATTCAATGATTACGCAACACCACCTCTGGCACTCACTTTAAAAAGACTGAGAACAAGATGATGCCGAAAGTAAGTCATGGGCACCAGGAGGAATGATCACACGGGAATGTTGAGCAGGCCTGTTTCTGGGGAAATGTGGACAAAGCCCAGGTGTGTTGTACTGAATTTGGACTATCTTTTCTCCTTTAACGTACAGTTAACATTGTGTATTTCATTTTATACCAAAAGCATTGATTCTGAAAGCAGAATTGTTCTACAATACACACTTCAATAATGGAAAAGAGCAGGAAAAGTTAAAGGATGCCCCAACAGATACAGCTGATGAGTTCAGGGGTATGTGTGTGTTTCTCATCACTTACTTATCTATTTGTCAATCAATCAACACCTTTATGAGAATTACTGTGTACAAGGCATTGTTTCAAAAGGATAAAAATAGATGATTAAGTATTCCCACTGTCTTTTGAGTAGAAAGTACTAGACTCTTTGGATAATAAAGGAAACTGAGAGGCACAAAGCTAAAATGAAATAACTGAGGTCAGATAGCTGATAAATGGCAGAGGAATCCATGAGAAAAGGCAGCCAGTAAAGGCAAAGAGCACTAGAGGATTCTTTAACTTTCTGAAAGCACCTTATTTCACATGTTTGTGGCTAGCTAGTTCTCTGAGGATGAGTAAATGTGGGCAGCTCCTTAACTTCACAGTTTTTTTTTTTAATTTATTTTATCCATTTGAGAGGCAGTGAGGCAAAGGGACAAAAATGTCCCATCTGATGTTTGACTCCTCACATGCCTGAAGCATCTGGAACTGGGGCAAGACAAGGCTAGGAGCAGAAAATTCAGTCACTTTATTTTTAATTGCATAAATTTTATTTTTGATAATTTTTACATATTTGATTAGGGTGCAAAGGTCAAGAGCTGGAGGAAAATGGGTGGGACCATTGTGTTGGCATTCTCTTGTTTCCTCCTGCACCTGGGGGCGTGTTGGTCTCCCACTTGGGTGGCAGAGATGCCAGCACTTATGAATGGACTGCTCTCTCCTGGGACATCCAGAACCTGCACTAGGAGCCGACCAAGGCTCTCCAGATACGGAAAGGATGCATTCCACATCCTAGCTTAATGCTACTCCAAAAACCTTCCTAAAACTCCTTACTTTCTGAGCCTCGGATTTGACTTCTAGAAAATTGCCATGGTAATATTTATCTCAAAGCATTGTTGGAAAGGTCTAATAAGGCTTGTTAAAATCAGAATTCACGTGCTGGCATGTACACTGAAGAGCAGATGCTGCCGATATTACTTATTACAGTTGAGCTATATATGTCACATTATTATAGATGTTAAAAGATATATTTGTATATTGTCATAACTAGAGTAATTTGGTTAAATATCTGTTTTAGTTTTTGCTACCTTAACTATGCATTAGTCAAGTATGTAATCCAGCTCACTTTAATACTTACAGTATCTGTCACACTAAAAGTGACAGAAGTTGAAGTCAAATGAAATCTAGCTATTTGTAACATTCTTCCGTCTAAAGGTAAAGGCAGGATATAATCCTCTCTGTCTACACTTCGTCTTTTTTCTTCATCCTCCCATCGCAAAATAGCTATTACTCAACTATTCTTTATTTTTGATATTGACTATTAAGATGAACAGTAACAATCAACTCTTATATAGAAGGTAATCATTTTTGTAGAAATCATTTATATTTTTGAACAAATCCCCGTGGCTTATCATTTGTTTTGTTTTATAAACATTGCACTAAAATGTTTTATTAGAATGGCTTCTTGTTATGCAATGAAGAACCACTCTACCTCCTTTAAGGTTTCCTGATCACAAATGACGAATCTGCGACACAAAACTGAGAGTGGAAAGATACTACAGGAAGGTAAGTTTGCACTCCAACTTTCCCATACCTTAGCTCTGTCAGCAAAAACTAAAACAGAATATGTAACGAAAAGGACACAGTTCAACAGAGTCAGATCCTTTTCGTTTTTATCCTAATCAGAGAAAACCATGGAGGAAGCTACCCAATGGAACACAGAAGAAATACTAAGACATCAAATGTACACTGAACAACTAATGTGATGATAGGCAATGATTATTTCTTGATTACTCTATGCTAGGGAGTATTTTACCTAGTTTTTTATGCATATTTTATATAACAGATGAGTTGTTTTTGTTACCACGGATAAACTGGAAAAAGACTTGGCAATTCTACTTAAACCTGAAAGATGTCCCATTGTGTATGAACTGTGTGACATTTTCAATGGATTTAGTGATATGACATGGGCACTGCACTCTTATATTATTGAACAGATTTTTGCATTTTTGATAAAATATAAGTTCAATTCAGCATTTTATTCCTGTAGGATTTATTGTTCAGGGGAGAAATGGAAAAATACAAAAGTAATTGTTATTTCTGGATCTACCCCATCTCCACCTCTGTGCCCACTCCTCCACCCTGTGCCCCTCCTCCACCTCTGTGCCCACTCCTCCACCCTGTGTCCCCGCCTCTACCCTGTGCCCCCACCTCCACCTCCGTACCCCCTCCTCCACCCTGAACCCCTTTTAGAGCTGTTTGGATAAGCTCTAGCACAATAAAGAGTAAAACGTCTGTCAGTCGGAACAAGAATGTGGTCATAATTCAGAAATGCAAAGCTGAATTTTTGCAGCAATACCTCTGTATGGATGGAACTATATGAACCATTGCAGACTGGCAGTTAAGTAAACCTGGAATACAGGCATCTGAAAAGTCTGTACCTTTGCTAAGCCTGAATAACATAAGTCATTACCTTCATTCAGCATGCAGTGGATCCTAACATTGTAAAATGCAGAGGGTAAATAGTGGTCCACTGATTCTTAAAATGTATTTTAAACCAGTTAATCTGCTACAAAGAAAAGACAACTTTGCCTTATCTGGCTTCTCAGCCTCCCTGTTTTATGCATTAGCCATGCAGAGGGACAATTTATAAAACTCCTGAAGAAATGCATAGATGGTAATTAGCTGTGCCTCGTTTAGTCACAGGCATTAATATGAGCAAGTGAGCTAAATTACTCCATAATTGAAGAGTATCTCTTAGAAAATGAAAATTTAATTTTCTTTTGCTGCCACATTCACTTTCTCAGTGGACAGGACCTGGAGGCCACATTTTCTAGTGAGTATGGTTGAATTAGAATATGTGATGCTTATTAAACATTCATTTGGAATTCAGCTAAAATCCTCCCCCACAGCTACAGCCTAACAGAGGGGGAGCATGTGTAGTCGTGCCTTTAACTCATGGACAGTACACTGAGTTAGTCACATTGCCAAAGGAATCCACTATGAAATGCAAGAGGAATGCAAAATTAATGATAGAAAACAGTTACAGGACTAAATGAACCACTTGGAAAGTTTAGACCTGATTCAAATGATAATTTACATTTGATTATTATGATCCAAAATTAAGTTGTCCCTTGGAGTTGAGACAGATTTTTTATGTGTGTGTGTGTGTGTGTGTGTGTGTGTGTGTGTGTGTGTGTGTATGTAAAAACATGTGAAAGCCAACTATTACTTGGTTCCTTAGGTCTTCAGCGATTGCCTCCGAGAGAACAGACTTAGTGGAATCATTCTTCATAAACATATTTCATGCAAAGATTTGCATGTAAAATATCTTAATAAAAAAGAAAAGAATAATCTGAGCTGAGTACCATGATTTTTGTGTGTAGATTGCAAAAAAATGACTTTATATTTTCATCATTACATATGAGCATAACATATAACAATGCTATTTATAGTATACTGCTGTTGTCTAGTGAATATATTACATAGTATAGAATCATATATTCTCAATGTATAACAGCATTATTTTCTAAACAAAAATACCTACAGTTCCAAACAGATATCCATCATTAGCATAAGCAATCTATGAGTACAGTTTTTGGAAAAACCTTAATTTTGTGATTTAATTTTAGATGACAATTCCTAAAATTAAAATAAATACAATAAGTTTGTAAGTTTTATAACTCGACTTCATTATCAATTATCATTCCTTTGAGCATTCATAGCAATTATATTTCAACAATTTTCTTTATTGGGACTTTGTGTGTGTGTGTGTGTGTGTGTTCACATAGAAAAATATATGTATCTATTTCTTGATAAGCAAATTATACATATGTTTATAAACATGCTGTGTTTCCTGTTTGCTGTTACCTGTGGGTTTCCTCTTCAACTCTAAGGTAAACTAGAACAGAATAAATTCCTTGAGTTGGACTGCATTTGGAACACAGTTATCATGCCCTGTTATAGGCGAGAGAATTAGCTCTGTTGTAGAAAAACTCATAGAGGAAAAGTGTGACCAAGGTGATTGCCCAGCGCAGTAGGTCTGAACAGAGTGTGTGTGACATAACTGTGTGAGCCAACTGCTCCATCAGACATGTGACCTGACCTGAGAGTGAGGGTCAACTGCTCCATCAGACATGTGACCTGACAGTGAGGGCCAACTGCTCCATCAGACATGTGACCTGACACTGAGGGCCACCTGCTCCATCAGACATGTGACCTGACCTGAGAGTGAGGGTCAACTGCTCCATCAGACATGTGACCTGACAGTGAGGGCCACTGCTCCATCAGACATGTGACCTGACCCCGAGGGCCAACTGCTCCATCAGACATGTGACCTGACAGTGAGGGCCAACTGCTCCATCAGACATGTGACCTGACACTGAGGGCCAACTGCTCCATCAGACATGTGACCTGACCTGAGAGTGAGGGTCAACTGCTCCATCAGACATGTGACCTGACAGTGAGGGCCACTGCTCCATCAGACATGTGACCTGACCACGAGGGCCAACTGCTCCATCAGACATGTGACCTGACAGTGAGGGCCAACTGCTCCATCAGACATGTGACCTGACACTGAGGGTCACCTGCTCCATCAGACATGTGACCTGACCTGACACTGAGGGCCACCTGCTCCATCAGACATGTGACCTGACAGTGAGGGCCACTGCTCCATCAGACATGTGACCTGACCACGAGGGCCAACTGCTCCATCAGACATGTGACCTGACAGTGAGGGCCAACTGCTCCATCAGACATGTGACCTGACACTGAGGGCCACCTGCTCCATCAGACATGTGACCTGACCTGAGTGAGGGTCAACTGCTCCATCAGACATGTGACCTGACCTGACAGTGAGGGTCAACTGCTCCATCAGACATGTGACCTGACAGGGCCAACTGCTCCATCAGACATGTGACCTGACAGGGCCAACTGCTCCATCAGACATGTGACCTGACCACGAGGGCCACCTGCTCCATCAGACATGTGACCTGACAGTGAGGGTCAACTGCTCCATCAGACATGTGACCTGACAGGGCCACCTGCTCCATCAGACATGTGACCTGACCTGACAGTGAGGGTCAACTGCTCCATCAGACATGTGACCTGACAGTGAGGGCCAACTGCTCCATCAGACATGTGACCTGACAGTGAGGGCCAACTGCTCCATCAGACATGTGACCTGACCTGACAGTGAGGGTCAACTGCTCCATCAGACATGTGACCTGACAGTGAGGGTCAACTGCTCCATCAGACATGTGACCTGACAGTGAGGGTCAACTGCTCCATCAGACATGTGACCTGACCACGAGGGCCAACTGCTCCATCAGACATGTGACCTGACAGTGAGGGCCAACTGCTCCATCAGACATGTGACCTGACACTGAGGGCCAACTGCTCCATCAGACATGTGACCTGACACTGAGGGCCACCTGCTCCATCAGACAGTTCAAAGAAGCTCTTTCTGTAAGAACTTGTGCAAAGTTGCATTCTAGAATCACAAAAAGGACATTTGGCAAAGAAATGTGACCAAGACATTTTAGGTCAATGCAAGAGCGTAAGTGGAAATGGAGAAGCATGAAAACAACATTATGTATGTGGCGTAATTGCATGTACACAAACAGAACATGCTACAGAAAGTGTGATGTGATGAGTGGCTAGGGAAGAGGACAGTAGCCAGGACATCTGAAGTTTTGAATGGATTTTATGCTTTCAGATCCAGGGAGGATTTAGAGCAGAATCTGTCCTTTCTGCTCATGTATGCTTGAATTTAAGCACTGAACAGAGTAGGTACCTGGCAGTTCTCCCAACAAATCAAGGATAGTTTTATCTTCAGCTACCATCAACTGTACATATTAACAAAACACAGAGCATTGGCAATGCACATAATATGCCTAGACAATCACGGAAAATCCTACTACAACAAGGCTAAATGCACTGAATCATATCTGAAACTAGGTCTCTGTAAATAGTACTGGATGAACCAACAGATGCCTGGGTGTTTCTGGGCAGGATCTTGTGAAGATGAAGGAATACTACAAAAGTACACACATACGAAGACAGAGCAGAAAGACACTAACACAAGACTCAAACTGCAAAAGTGGTTCCTCTGGTCTGGCAGTCGCCGACAGCCCATGCTCGGGCTGTGGGAGGGGTCAGGGGACCTCTCACCTGGGCAGGTAGACTTCCACTTTCTGCTTCTTCACGGAGCTTGCCCACTCATCAATGAGCTGTGCTTTGACCAAAGGCTCCAAAGTGGCCAGTGGAACTTCCTGCCTGGACAGCACCAACATCATGCTTATCTCGTCTCCCTCATATGGTATTTCCAGGACTTGGTAGATACCACCAGCCTCATTGGAGCCATCACTGAATTCCCCTAAAAGAAAAGAAACACTGTGAAATGACATGTCAAAGCTTTTTAAATAGATTTAAATCTGCTAACAATTCCTTTTTTCCAAAATAGTAAACAGAACAGAAAAAGTTCAGGCATCCAAGAAAAAGAAGGTTTATTTGAAAACAGGCTCTGAAATTCAAATGAATTCTCAGCAGCACACACTTCATTTTATTTTAGAATCCCTGGAATTATTTCACATTTGTACTAGGCTGTTTTCTGGACTTACTTCATGTTCAAATGAGATAATCCAATATATTTACAGGATATTATTAGAAACAATGAAATGTCCTGCTAGAAAAACAAAGTGTTATCTGCAAGTTGGATGTAACCAATGCTGTTAACAACAATCACCTGATTTCTAAGAAGAAAATAATTTAATTTAGTCAAACCTGGTATGCTATGATCACCACCGCAAGTTTTGAGGCCTAAGTTGCACATTCAAGATGAAACCTAGGTCTTGTACAACATGTGGTACATATGATTGTTAGGATGTCCAAATTAGGTAATTACATAAACTAAGTAACTGGGCTTATGATGTATATATGTGAGCAAATTAACTAGGCTTGTTTTCTCAAAAATAAATCTTAAGGGCTGGCTTAGTGGTAAAAGGGGAAAACCAACTGCTGGAATGCTGGCATCCTATATGGCTGCTGGTTCCCGTCCTGGCTTTTGATCCAGCTCCCTGTTAAAGTGCCTGAGAAAGCAGTGGGAGAAGGCATGCATGCTGAAACACTGCCACCCATGTGGGACACCCACATGAAGTACCTGGCTGTTGGCTTCAGCCTGCAAGAGTCCTGTCCACTGTGGCCATCCGAGGAGTCGAACAGTGGATAGAAAGTCTCTCTCCCTCTTTTTCTTGATCCCTGTCTCTGTCTCTCTGTAACTCTTCTCAACAAACAGATAGATATTTTTTTAAAAAACTTTAAAATTGTTCTGTCATTAATTTAAAATTTATCAATTTTAAAAGTAAGTGTAATATTTTATTAGAAATATTTTCCTATGGCCAATCTAGGTTCTTAAGACATCAAATTAAACATTTGGTTTGAATATGGATGGGTATTCTGTCTCATCTTTACTGCTAACTTGATCAGCTGTGATTGTAATCCTATTTAATATTACAACATTCTTGGCTTAAAATTACATCTTCGCATGACAAACAATGACTACAGTTCACTATAATGCTTAGGAAGGGCTAATATCCTTAACTTCTGAAGAAATGAAGGAAAATCTTTGAAAATAATTCCAAGGATATTGATTTGTGTAACAAATACAGGCTCAAAATAAATGAAACTATAATTGCACAATTATGCTTGCTTATACATTCAAGTGTACTTCAGAAAGTTCGTGGAATATTGAACTAAAAATAAGTTTAGCTAACTGTATTGTGGAGTGGCAAAGCAGGCTAAGTCATTGCAAACAGCTCTGGCTTTTTCTATTGGAGTGCTAGTTTGAGTCCTGGGCAATTTAACTGTGATCAAGCTCCCTGCTAATGCACCTGGGAAGGCCGAAAAAGACAACCCAAGCACTTGGGTCTGTGCTACCCATCTGGGAGATCTTGATGCAGTTCCTGCCTCCTGACTTCAGCCTGGCCCATACCTGACTGCTGTGGCCATTTGGGAAGTGAATCAGTATATCAAAAATCTCTCTTCATCTCTCCCTCAACCTGTCATTTAAATAAATAAATCTTTTAAATAAAAAGTAGTTTATTTTGGCATACAAAAAGTTGAAATCTAAACATAGCTTAATCATAGTATGCACCTTCCATGAACTTTCTGGAAGCCCCTGTGCACAAGTCTGAGATATTTTAAAGCAGAAAGAAAAGGCCTTTGGGAAGAATTCTATAATTCAAAAACACAGTAAGAACTGCAAATCAAGTGATTGGTACAACATTCGGTCCACTGAGAATGGTCCTAAGGCCAGTGATGTTTTTGTTGTTGTTAAATCAGAATATTCTTGTAAAACGTTATGTACTTTCAAGTGAATGAAGCCATGCTGCAGTGGGTGGTTAACTTTATAAACTGAAGGAACATATCAGCAAACTATCAATCCATAAAATATCCATTCAAGATCTGATCACAGGCTTTTCAAATTGGAGCAAGGGAAGTGGAATTATGACACAAATTCCACTGACAAGCAGTTTGAGCAATGAACATTCCATGTTGTTTTCCTAGACATGTGCTGACATGCTGCAAAGGAGAACTGAAAGTCAGCATGCCTTACCATAATAAAATTCTCCTTGTTGATACATCATTGGGATTTGGACTTCAGTTTCATCATCTTTTGTGAAGGAGAAGGTTCTAGTGTTTTCAGGTCTGAACTGTGATTTCCAGTTACCCTTGAAATAGACAGCATTGATGAGGGCCAGATGAGTCCCAGCATCAAAATCTCTCGGGGATACCACGTCTTTCAACAAATCTATTTACACACACACACACAAAAAGATGAACAGAATAAAAAAAAACAGAAGGTGAAAAAAATCAAGACTGCTAATCCTCCACTGATAAAACGGCTCAGAAAAACTAAACACAAGCTTAGCTACAAAAAGAAACAGTTCCCTACTTTCAAAGGAAGCACACACTACTAAAAATAGTGCGTTCTTTCTAATTCTCCATTTTAACATGGGATTCTTTCAGTTTTAAGTGATTCCTATACAATCTTTATGTTACTAATCAAGTTCTTTATTTCAGAAGCCAACAAACATTTCTAAATTCTGATCTAGCTCTCTTGTTCTATTTTGATTATTTTCTGTTAAAAAGAGCCCAAAACTGCCATTCTGTCTAGAAACTAATTCATTAAATAGTTGGCTCAAGCAAAACTCCATATAGTAGAGGAGACTACCACACAGAGGAAACTCATTAATCAGAGAGTACACATTTCAGACTGTCATGGCCAAAAATCTGCAGACGCGAATAGATTTAAATTCTTCTTTTAAATGCTCATCCATAAATAATGTTTCTATAATAGACCATAGTCAATACAAAATAATTATTTATGTACCAAGCTGAATGGTATTCGGCACAAAGAAAGTGAAGGGACCCACTCTTTCAGCATCAGAGTTAAAAACCAAGCTGTAAGAGAAAGAAAAGCAAGGAACGACTTACTATTGGTGTTATTCTCCACCCATCTATTGATGTGGTTGGCTGCAGCTATATTTTGACTAAAGTCCACATGATTCACTTCTGCATGAAAGTACTTTTTCAACATTTGCAAAAACTCATCATTGATATAAAATCCATTTTGCACAAAGAGAGAATTGGCAATTTTCATCATATACTGGCTCTCTTCAGCCGTTGTCATGTCAGAAAAATCCTTCAAGAAAGAAAATTCTTCACCTGCAAGATGAAATAGGACACTTATTAATGGAACAAGCATGGTGAGAGGTGAAGGAGTGCAGGAGTGATGAGCATGGCAATGGACATTGATAGAACAGGCACTGGAGAATGGCTCCAGGCTTGCTGTTTACATCACAGAGTGAAAGATAGTTTTTATTTGCACTACAACTAGATGCTCACATTAACAACTTTGTACTTTATTATTACCTACGTGACTAAGTTCTGCAAAAAAAAAAAAATTAAAGTTGTTTTCTTTCAAAATATTCAGATTGCTTTCATTATTATTTTGTGATTATCAGGAAGAACTTACTTTAATTATGTAGTAAAAAAACTTTTTTAATGAAAAAGGTATTTCATTACATTTTACTATCATTAGATTTGAAAACCTTTGTAACTAGAAAACTTGTTAGAAATTGTTTTAGTTCTTAACCTTTAAATGAATTAACTTTATATTATGAACATTAATAAAGTATACAAAGCTTCAAAGTTACTACAACATTCTTGGCTAGAGAGTCTCCCTCCAATTGTAACTTTTATAATAACAAGCCATTTTAAAAATGCATGAATCCTACTTAAACAATGATGATACATTTGGCTTTAAGTCAAAATGTCTGATATTCCTGGCAAGCCATATTACCTTTTTATAGCATACAAACAGTGCAATTTTTCTTTCATTTCTGTAATAACTGACAATATGTACTCTTTCCCCTCAGTATTAGGAGAGTCAGAATGATGTCTCTTCCTGTTTATCACAGTGTGCTTTACTTAAGCAATGATAATTTTTAAAAGATATGATTCTCTTAGATCTATTGTGCCATACATGGATCTAGGAATCAACATCTTTCTTAATTTCTAATCTTTCTCCTTGTGACACTGCATCTCAAAGAGATTATTTCCAATTCTTTGTAACTATTGCTGCCCCTGGCATAAGAAAACACAACTGAGTTAAAAGTTAAAGTCCTACTGTGTTGAGCTGTGAAACCTAAGTGCACTAACCATTAGTTAGACCCTCGTATCCCATGGAATGGCGGATCTCTCTGAGGGTAGACCCCTGGGCGCCGAGTTCCATCATGCCCACTGCGAGGGCGATGCTCAGTGGGGAAAAGAGGATATTTTCATCTTCTGCAGTAGCTCGAAGGTGGTTGTACATATTCACCGACAGCTCGGCAATGCCCTCATCAGGGAAGGCAGCCTCCACAGCCACGATCTGCAGAGCCAGCAACAAGAGTCCAAGGCCAGCCATGCTGCTACAGTTTCAAGACTGGAAAACAAACATTTATAAATGGATTGTTCATTATTTCAGAGGAATATAGTGAAAGGTAAAAACAGAAAGAATTAGATATTGATAAAGTTGTAAGGCGAGCTAAAGATTTATAAACATGGAGCTTAAAATGGTAGCATTCACCAAACTGTGTACAGAAAGGTGCTGGTTTTAAAAAGCCAATCAATAACCGAATGAATAAATGACACTGGAAATTTCTGAGGATTAATTAAGAAATAAGATTGCTCCTACCTTCACGAGATGCCAGCTATGCAGAGACATGTATGACCACTGCGTACCACTCAAGTCTGCTGAGGCACATTGATTAGTTTGTCATAGCCTTGGTCCATACATTTTGATCATGATTCAGAACCAACTTACTCTAGATTCCATGAAACTATGTAGACCCAAGCCCACCATGATGAAAATGAAATTTACTAAAAGCAAGCATCTGGCAACACCGTGTTACCAGTTTACTGCATTTTTATAGAACGACTGCACCTTCCAGTTGGGTCAAGGACTGGTCAGAAAACGTCAGACACACACCAGCCCTAACTCCCAGTTAACTCAGCACACAGTGCACAGTCCATGGACATGGCAGCCCAGAGTGGTCACAGCACAGTCCATGGACATGGTAACCTACAGAAGGAGCAGACACAGCACAGTCCATGGACGCGGCAGCCAGAGAAGGAGTGAACACAGCACAGTCCACGAACACGGCAGCCAGAGAAGGAGCAGACACAGCACAGTCCATGGACAGCACAGCCTACAGAAGTAGACACAGCACAGTCCATGGACAGCACAGCCTACAGAAGGAGCAGACACAGCACAGTCCACGGACACGGCAGCCAGAAAAGGAGCGAGCAGAGAAGAGCAGAGCAGAGCCTTGTACATGCTCATTCCTGGCAATGTTGCTGCTGCCTGTGACCAGCAGCCGGTAGGAGCAAGCTGCCTACCCATGATGGGAATGAAGCTGAATTCTTGCCACCACACTGTCCTGTTGTTCTAAGACTTTTGTCATCACATCAAAGGACACTAACAAAAGGGTAATTTCATTTAAATGAACATCTCTAAAAACTCAGGCTTGTCTGGTACTTGAACCAAAGGACAAAGGGACTTAAGGCCACACTTTCCCAAGGAAGGAGAAAATAACATCAGTGTCCAAACATCTTTGAATGCTGTTTTTGCCTCTTGTCTTTCGAACATTCCAGAAACCCCAACTGCACATGCTGTGGACAATACTGCCTCTTTTTATGCTCCTATTCTGTCACCACAGTCAACTAGAGAGCTAAACTCTGTATTCAAACAATTAAATCACTTGCTTATTCTTGATTATTTTTTTAAAAATGCATCATTAAAATCGCATGTAAAATGATATTGAGCAAACACATTTGGAAAATTGTGTTTTAATTAGGAATGCACATTAACAGTCTCCATTACTCAATTAGCAGAGTGCATACACATTTAACTGAAGAGCACTGTGTTTCCAAAAGGCTTTCTACACTAAAAAATTTTAATGAATCCTTTAATATCTGCAATTCCAATTCCAGAAACTGCCTGAAAACATCTTCTAAGCTCGTTCCCATTTTCAGGTTACAAGCATTGTTCTCCTTGTCTAAAAAGTTGCAGGCTCTCCCTGCCAACCTCCCACCCCTGCATTTGGGTTACTGGGATTGTTGCTGCTTTGGATGGTGTCACTGGGCTTCTGTGTAAACACGGACTCCCACCAAGCACTCACTGCTCAAGTGCTGGCTGATGCTGGGCAACAGAGGGTAGCACTGCAGGGCAGCGCTGGTATTCCCGCTGCAATGGGACAGAAGCCAGGGGAAGAACACAGCTGCCATGCCAGCCTGCCAAGTCCAGCTGCAGCATTTCTGCTTCAGACAACCCAGGGCAAGGTGGGTGTGGGGCCCATGCGGCTATATTCTCTGTAGATTCATGTAATCCTTCAACTTGAAGAGAATGTAAGATTCATGCAGCAGTTAATATATAAACTGTAATACTGTTTCATGGAATGTATATCCAAAAGCACCCCCCCATGCTCTTAATCTTTACGCCATAATGTTTGGCATGCTATCTTTCTAGTGCTCTGCCTCTGCCAGTATTTATGAAGTAATTTGAAAGATAGAGGGACAGGGTAAGAGAGGATGAAAGAGAGAAAAGTAAAGAAAGACAATATTGTATCTGCTTCTTCACTTCCCAACTGTGCCAGGCCAAAGCCAGAACCACAGAATTCCACTCGGATCTCTTGGGTGTATCAAGGTGGAATTCCACTTGCGTATCATCTCAGGGCTGTGGCAGAGTGAAATTCCACTCGGGTCTCTCAGAGCTGTGGCAGAGGCTGAGTCACTTAGGCCATCTTGTACTGTTTTCCCAAGGCACATCAGCACATCATCCTTCCTTGGGAATAGAGTGGTCAGCATCCATACATATCCTCCTCTAGGGGAGGCAGGCAGCACTTAGCACACTGGGTCATGACACTGTGCATCTTAACTTCTATGCTGTAGACCCAACCTGGCCCTCACTGCTGATATATAACACTAGCCAGTTTAAGACTAAGAAAATAAATTCCATTTATGGTAGGCATGTCTGATGGTCAGTAACACAGCTACTTGGAAACCATTGCATTTAGTGTGAGTATAAAGATTTTAAGATAAAAAGTAATTTTATTTATACAAGGTAGAAACCAATTTATTGTCAAGCAATACGCATTCCAGAACCTAAAATCAAGTCTATACGATATACAAGTGAATTTACCATGAGACTGCATTAGTAATGGCTAACACTGACTAGTATATTAAAGGATTATATTTTTTAAACTGCTCTGTAAATAAAAACTGTATTGCCACTTTTTATGCATAGAAGTGTACCTTCTGAGACATGAAGAACTGGCTCAAGGTTGTAAGGGAGGTCCTAGAGCCACATGGATCCAAAGACATGTGTAAACAGACTTAACTAGTAAGTTGCTTCTCCAATCCTTGGGTCATTGGGAAGACATGTGACTTCAAGATCAAAGGCTTGGACTGATAACAGCACTGAGAACTTAAGCAAGTCACATACATTCTCTCCACATGCACTTCCTTATTTGTGTAATGAAGCTAAGTCCTAATCCTAATCCACAGCATCATGAGAAAGAATGATAGTGGAACACTCATTTTAGACCACTGGTTTACTCTTAGAAATCATTATTGTGAGAAACCAGGTTTTCTGGCTTTGCATCTGTGCTGTTGGACAAGAAGATGCAGTACATGAGTACTTCATCATTCCCGTTGCTTCACCTAATGCAGCGCCAACGTCCATTCATCTAGCCAAGACTTGAAAAAAGATAGATTCAGACTGTTATCCTCAAAGAATCCCCGTCACTGTGCAAGAACGCACAGCTGTACTAAGTGGCCTTCAACATCTTTTTTTAAAGAAAAGAGAGCCATTTAAATTTAAAGAGAAGGATACACCATTCCTGTCAAAAAGAATTCATGCACTGGCTCGCATATTCACTAGGAACGTCTGGATCCATGGCAGGTGGTCAAGATGCACAAAGAGGAAGTGTTTGATGGAACTGCTGGTCTGCAGGTTTCACTTTATGTGGGAAACTGAGCTGCCAAGCCATAAATGCATCCTTAGCCTGTAGAGGACTCCTGGAAGGAGCACTCCATCTATTTTGGGAGAGGGTTCATCCAGGGAAGGGAAGTGAGCAGCAGGCTGCTGGGTACATATTGTGCCAAGAAATTAGGAGCCGTGTGTTTGAGAATGGTGAGGGCTGATCATGCCAGGAAACTGAACGGATCCACAGCTAAGTAATACTCTCTCTTTTCTGGAAGGCAGACAAAATTTCTTTTGTTGTGCTTGTCCAGCCTTTCTGACCCTCCCTCCCCTGGACCTGAAGCCTTCTAGTTTGTGCCTTGGCTGCAGCTGACGGTGCAGCCTCAGTGGTTTTCCTTACTCCTCTTACTTTATTGTTATTATTATTATTTTTACTGGCAGTGGGGTGCAGACTGCAGGGAGGTATAGTGGCTCATTTCCTTTTCCTGTTTTATCTATTAAGTACCACTGTTATCCATACATCTAGTCCTGATTTCTTCTAAAACACCCCCAATGCCCGCTTACAAATTCTCAAAAGAGAACTAGTTCAATTATTCTCCCTATCCAGTATTTTTCCAATTATTTATTCATTTTTATTTGAAAGGCAAATTTGTAGAGAGAAGTAAAGACAAAGAAAAAGATGTCTTCCATCCACTGTTTTACTCTGCAAATGGCTGTAACAGCAGGAGCTAAGTGCATCTGAAGCCAGGATCCAGGAGCTTCCTCTGGGTCTCCCACAGGGGTGTAGGGGTCTAAGGACTTGAACCATCCTTTTTTTGCCTTCCCAGTTTGTAAGCAGAGAGCTGGATCAGAAACAGAGCAGCTAGGATGAGAACCAGTGTTCATGTGGATTGCTAGCACCTCAGGCAGAGGATTCATTTGTTGACCACCATGCAAACCCTTGGCTTTATTTCGTTATATTTTTATTTTTTTTTAAAGATTTATTTTTATTATTTTTTCATTGGAAAGGCGGATATACAGAGAGGAGAGACAGAGAGGAAGATCTTCCGTCCAATGATTCACTCCCCAAGTGAGCACAACGGGCCGATACTATGCCGATCCGAAGCCAGGAGCCTCTTCCGGGTCTCCCACGCGGGTGCAGGTTCCCAAAGCTTTGGACCGTCCTCGACTGCTTTCCCAGGCCACAGGCAGGGAGCTGGAAGGGAAGCGGGGCCGCCGGGATTAGAACCGGCGCCCATATGGGATCCCGGGCATGCAAGGCGAGGACCTTTAACCACTTGCGCCACCACGCCGGGCCAATTTCGTTATATTTTTAAAGATGTATTTGGGCCCAGTGTGGTAGCCTAAGGGCTAAATTATCACTTTGCATGCGCCAGGATCCCATTTGGGCACCGGTTTGTGTCCTGGCTGCCCTGCTTCCCATCTGGCTCCCCGCTTTGGGCCTGGAAAGGCAAT